AAAGTAATGAAATGAAGAAAAAGAGAGAGAGAGAGAGAGAGAGGGGGGGGAAAAGAATGTAACGGTTATTTTATTTAACTTACTTTCGACGCCTCCAAGTTTTTTTTTTTTTTTTTTTTTTTTACTGCAATTTTCTAAATTTAAAATTTTAATAATTTGATATTATTTACATACTTTTTTTTTTGTTTTTGTTTCGTTTCCTTTGAAATTAAAAGGAAAAAGGAAAACAATGAGAAGGTATAAAAAAAAAAAAAAAAAATTTCATATCTTTTTGATTACATTCATCATTTATCATTCTTATTAGATTGTTTTGACGTTATCATTACTCCTCCCCTCCCCTTTTCGCTCTCTCTCTCTCTCTCTTTTTGCATCTCCATCTTCTTCCTCTCTTTTTAATAATTTATTTGACTCCTCGTGATTATGTTAAAACTTGATTATGCAAATTAATAATTTTCAATTTCAGGTGATTGGAATGAAAGAAGTTTCGGATTAGGTTCAACCCATAGAGTCGGTTTTTTCGGTCATAGAAAAAGACTGCAATTTGCTCTTTTGCCAATAATGTACAAAATGGGCGTTATGACGACATTACTAACAGGTCTCACTGTACTTGCTCTTAAAGGATTAACAATTGGAGTGATTTTACTTTTTTTTGCTTTTGGTAAAATTTATTCACGTGTTATTTATTTCTGTAAAAAAAAAAATATTTTAAAATTAATAGAACGTAAAACAAAAACAAAAACAAAATTATATATATATTATATTCCATAGAAACTTTTTTTTTTTTTAAAAAAAAAACATGTATGTCAATGTCAAACTCATTCGAAAAAATTTAATTTGATTATTATTATTATTATTATATTTTAAATAATTATAGGGTTGGAAATTGGTAAACGATATCCGGATGTTATATGTTTAGAACATTTTTAGTGAGAGTTTTCTCAAGGTTAACTAAATAATAGAATGATGAGTTCGGTGGTGGTGGTGATGGTGGGGGTGGTACTCATCATTTCGAAATCATTTTAAACAAAACCAATGAGATAATTTTGTAATTTTTTTTTTTTACATGGAAAATGCATTAAAAAAGAATTTAACGTAAAAGGAAAAAATGTTAAATCACGTGTTGGGGTTTTTTTTAATGGCTCCCTCCCCTCCTTATTTAATTTATTAATTTATCAAAATGTATTCTTTTTAAAAACCATTTTTAAAAAAATAAAGGTGTTTGAATAGTTTAAATGATTGTAAAAATAATAATAATTATTATTATTATTGTTATTTGTAGGAAATCATTTTGTAAAATATGGAAAATTATCTGGTCACTCTTCACAACCCATTCACGTTCACGTTCATCCAAATAATGATAAACACGTGACATATACTAAATATCATGATTACGGAGGTGAAACATATTCAGGTACAAAGTTTACAAAATGAATGTATCAAAATCTGGGAAAACATTCCATTATATTTATTTATTTATTTTAAATAATAGATCCCTGGGATAGAAATTGGGAAAAAGAAGATGATAATATTTATAATGAAGATGATGATATAAGAAGAAAACCGACGTTACGAGAAAGTTGGGAGAGTTACCGAAGGAGATTTTTACAATACACGGCCGACATGTTAAAATATAATCCGTTCGATATAAATAAAAACGGTTAATTTTAATTAATTTATTTATTTAAAAAAAAAACTAATTTATTATTATTATTATTATTATTATTATTATTATTATCGAAAAAAATAAAATAATAAATAAAATAGTAATTAATTTATTTATTGAATTAAATAAAGTTTTTTAGTCGAATTAAATTATTATCATATTAAATTAATTAATAATAAACTCGCTCATTATTTTTTTTTTTTTTATGTAAAATTAATTTTTTTAATAATCTTTTTACACACACCCCCTCCCTAATTTAAAAAAAACTGTAATAATAATAATAATAATAATAATTTTATTTGGATAAAATAATTTAAAAAAAAAAAAATTTATGAAATTAAATAGAATTTTAATAAATACATTTGATTAAGTGTTTGTATATTAAAATTTTTCAAAAATTAATCGAAAAAATATTCATCAATTAATAATAATAATTATTATTATTATTATATTTTAAATTTCGAAATCGAAAATAAATTTAACAACTTAATGCTTTTTTATTTAAATAAAAAGTTTTTTTTTAGAACAAACACTTTTGTCACAACTGAATTTGTAAATTATTTTTAGTTTCAAACGTAACCTTAACACACATACATATATATATATATTCGATCTATTTTTTATTTGTTTTAATAATAATAATAATAATAATAATAATAATAATAATAATAATAATAATGGAAAATAATACATAAAATCAAAAAAAAAAAAAAAATTAATAAGATATGCTTATAATTAAATACAATCATAATAAATTTTTAATAATTTTTATCATTTTTTTTAATACAGAACAATAATTATATTCAATTTGTAATTATTATTATTATTATTATTATTATTATTATTTATTTATGAAAAAGTTTAACGGTTACTATTTGAAACATTCAAAAAAAAAAAAAAAAAACAAAACAAAACAAAAAATGTGTTACATATAAAAACATACAATCCATTTTTTTTTTGTTTTTTTGGTTTAATGAACCCCCAAAAAATTTTTTGATTTTGAGGTTTACCATATTAAAATTATTTTTTTAAAAATAATAATAATAATAATAATACTGATAAGTTTTTTTTGAAGTAAACGTATCAACGTTAAAAATTTTTTAAATTTTTTTTTCTTGTTATAATTTATTGTCGAATTTAATTATTCATTTTAAAAAAAAATTTAATAATAATAATAATAATAATAATAATAATAATAATAATAATAATAATAATAATAATAATAATAATAAAGGAAAGTACCGTTACAAAGTAAGTGTTTTTTTTTTACTGCATGTGACATTATTAACCGAAAAAAAATAAAGTCAATAAAAAATATCTGTCAACAAAAACGATTTAAATATTAACAAACAAGAAAACAACAGGACCAAAAAAAAAATTTATATATATATATATATATATATATATATATATATATATATATATTATTATTATATATATTATTATTATTAATATGTGACGTGAGACCATCGTAAAAATCCCTTCACATATCAATATTTGACTTGACTTATGTTTAACATACCAAAAACTGAGAAGTAGCGCAAATAATTAATTTTTTTTTTTTTCGGTTAAGTATAAATTAAAAAAATCATTAAAAAATGTGCGTGTGTGTGCGTGTGCGTGCGTGCGTGTGTGCGTGTGTGTGTAATTTGAATCCAAATGCAAACAACCATTCCTGGATTTAAATAAAAAAAAAAAATTTTTTTTTTAAATTTATAGAGATCGTATCTCATTACAGGTGTGCATACATTTTAAGAGAAAAAAGTTGGACTTTAAACTTCTCCCTCCCGCTCCCCATCCCCCCACACTTTATTACTATCATTAAAAAAAATAAATAATAATAATAATGATTTTTTTCTTAGGGGGAGGCGGAGGAGGAGAAGGAGGGAAAAAAAGAGAAAATTAAAAAAACGAAAACGAAAAAAAAATTAAAAATTTTTTTCTTGTTTTTTTTTTTTTTTTTTTGGTAAATTATTATATTTAATACGAAATTCATTATTATTATTATTATTATCATCATCATCATTATTATTATTATTATTACTATTATCATCATCATTATTATTATTATTATTAAATTTTTTTTTGAATTTTTTGAAATGAATGAAAATTATCAAAGCGTAATAATTTGGTCGGATTGTAAATTTAAAATAAAAAAAAAATTTAGATCGACATCGGTAACTTTCTGTTATTAAAAATGATTGATTTAAAACACAACAAACAACAAACAACGCCCAAATTTTCAAACTCAACAAACAAACAGACGAAAAAAAAAAAATTTTAAGCGTGTAGCACAGTTTAAAGTAACCTAAAAATTTTTTTTTTATTTTATTAATATCAGTTTTTTTCTCAAACTCGAACTAGCGGTTTTATTAATATATTATTATTAAATTTTTTTTATTTTTATTATAACAAATAAAATGAGAGGAAATGTAAAAAAAAAAAAGAAAACTTTTCCGAAAAAATAATAATAATAATAGAAAATTTCAAAAAAAAAAAAAAAAATCAAACCCATAATTATATTTTGACATGAATTGTTTGTAACTTCCTGTAAATTTATTGACATGCACTTTTTGTTTGTTTGTTTGTTTGTTGTTTGTCTGTGCGTGTGTTTGTTTAAACTAATTATTAATTAAATCGTTTGAAATAATATGAGAGAAAAAAAAAAAATTCAAAAATTTGGGTTTAAGGTGAAATTTTTTTCAAATTTTAACGAAGGATTTAATTTTAAACGTGAAAAAAATTTTTTAATGATTTTGAGTCATTTTAAAATAATAATAATAATAATAATAATATTATCAACACGTCATTTTATTATAGTCATTCACACGCAAACGCGTCTTCGTTATATTTTTCTAATATTATTATCTCTCTCTCTCTCTTCAAATGATAATGATGATTATATATTTTCAATTGACTCGAACTAAAAAAAAAAAAAATTTTTTAAACTCGGCCAAATTTATATCGATGATTTAATAATTATTTTATTTAAATAATTTTTTTTCTTTTAATTCTCATTCATCTTCAACTTGCAATATAAAATCGATACGGGATTTAAATTTTAAATTTAAATTTAATTTAAAAGGAAAAAAAACGGTTTAATTTTTCAGTTTCACTTTTAAAATGTTTACAAAAAAAAAAAAAAAATAATCAAAATGGCTCGAGGAAAAATGTCGCGAATTTTTTTAATAAATTAATAATAATTATCTAATTATTTAATTCATTGGCATTTGTAATAATATTATTATTATTACGACTACTATTACTATTATTATTATCATTAATCAAATGTTTTAAAAAAACGTAAAATTTTACGACGATTTAATTAATGCACACAGATGATGATGATGATGATGATGATGATGACGACACATCAAAAAAAAAAATCGTTGGGGGGTCATCACGAGTAAAATAATCAATTCTTAAACACTTTAGATAAGAAAAAAAATTTTTTTTTTTTTTATCATTCCATAGAGAATGTCATCGAGAATAGATTTCCCGCCAGGACATTTTTTTAATATTAAAACTGGAAAAACAAAAAAAAATTCAAAAAACTCCTGGAGAAATATCACTTGGATAAGACGTTTACGGTTGTATTCGTTTGTTGTTCTTCATATCCTGAGGTAAACCGGATATAATAATAAGTTTTTTTTTTTTTTTTTTCTTTAAAAATTTCGCGGGAAAATAAAGTAAAAATAATTTCGGGCAAAAAACTTTGAGGGGGATAGTTAACCCATTTAAAGATATTTAAAAAAATTTTTTTTTTTTGTAATCAAGGGAAAAAGTAATCAGGACCCCCTAACCCTTAAACAAGTTGACCGAAAACAAACCGGACTTCTTTACGTTGAATGTATCACTACTAAAACCAGTTCAAATTTTTTTTTTTTTTTTAAATCATAGTACTACATAGGTACAACAATCTCGATGGAAAAATAATAATAAAAAAAAAAAGGTACAAAGTCCACTGAATTTATCATAAATGTCATTAATAATAATAATAATACGTGTTTTAATTACGAGAATGTTAAATCGATGACGTAGTTTCATAAAGAGATTTTATTATTAAAAAAAATATAAATGTTTATATATAATGAAAAAAAAAGTATTTAAGTAGTATACAAGTAGCAAATTAGTTATCATATCAGTTAGTCCTTTTTTAAAGTAAGTTAAATTTTAGTCGTCGTTTAAGAGTAGAAAACTTGTTTTACCCCAGTTACTGTTATATACACTAACTACTCTTTAAACTTGAAAATTATTTGCAAAACATTTATTGAATTAGTATAACATGTGATATTTGTGAATGAACGTTCTGGTAGTACGCTACGATACGACTACAACAAAAACTACATTTTATTTATTTATTTATTGTTATTGTAAATTTGTTAAGGAAAATAATTTAATAACATTAAAACATAAAAGATGTCTGTGTGTGTGTTGTTATTTTGATTGAGGTAAAGTATTTTCACATTTTTTTTCTTTTTAATTGTTTAAATGATTGTTTTATTTTTTTTTTTTAAAAAAAAACATAAATACAATAAAAACATTTTTTTTTGGAAATAATATTTTATGTTTCGATTTTACAATCAATCAAATCGATATTTTTTTTTTAAAAGTTTTTTTATAATTAAAAATTATTTACCATATCGTTACAATACAAAAAAAAAAAAAATTCAAAAATT